ATACATCTCCTCAAGGAAGCACCATGGTGCTTTAAAGGGCCCTGACCTACCTGCCCCCTCCCCTTGTCACCAGCTGTGGATCCCAAAGTCAGAGGGGGAGAAGAGGGTTCAGATGCCTGCTGCCACCTCTGGAGGGGTCTCTGTGGACATGAGTTTGCTATGTGTTTCTTGCACCCTCTCCTGGCCCCCGGCTCCCTTTACAACCGCACAAGGGGAATGTGGGAGGGAGATAGGGGAGAGGATAAGGAAGAGGAAATGTGGGCCTGGCAAGGTGAGGTACCTGTGGGGACAGGGGTAGGGGTGCTTTAGGCTTCTCTCTTCTTGTTGACGCGCCACCCTTCCAAGCAGCATTATTGCTTAGGAAACACCAGGACGAGATGGCCGCTCAGAGGTTTTGGTGTTTCAGTCGAAGTGATCATTTTCTCCAAGATGGACAGTCTTGCTAGTGGAAACAGCTGTACCCTCAGACCTGGGGTCGGATTCCCAGCACTCCTGTTTTCACTGTGACGTTGACAGTGGTAGTCCCAAGAGGTAGCTGGGGGAGCTTTAGCCCCTCCAAAATCTCCACTGACTCCACCACTTTTTGATGCGATGTCTTCTCAATCTTCAGGGCCTCACTTCAAGGAGAGCTTCAAGGCAAACCGCCCAGCCTCTGCCGCATCCCGGGCAAACTAACAAACATCTCAAAGTCTCAGGTTCCCTATCTCTGGAAGAAGAATGAGACCTGCAGCATAGTGTTATGGATATTAAATTAGATAATATATGTAAACCACTTAGCCCAGAGCCTGGCATACAGTTGGTACTTAATACATGCGTATTATTTCCTTTCCTTGGAGAAAGGAGTAGTGAGGTAGGAATAGAATCTGAGGCAAAAACACGTCTGTGGAACTCAGCCCTAGACCATGCTTCACCCTCTCTTTCTCCAGCTCCAAAAGAACAAATCAGCTCAGACTTGGGCCCTCCTGTGGTATGTTCTTGAAATTCTCCCCCAAGACATCAACGCTTTGGGTGGGTGAAGGAAAGCCAGCTGGCCCTTTCGAGAATAGGAGAAGAATCTAGGAGGGCAAGGCATGAATCTCTCCCAGGCACAGGGCTACTTCCCTGATTCTGGAGCATCCCCAGGGTTTCTGACCCAGGTTTGCATCACCTGGGCAGGGAGGTTAGTCCCCTGGGCAATGATTTGCTTGGTGAGAAAGGAGGGGGAAGAGAAGGCACCTACTGAAGCCTGACCTGGTTTCCAGCAAGGACCCACCCTCAGTCAGTCAGTCAGTCAGTCAGTCAGTCAGTCAAGCAGTCAGCCCAAGATTTAGGCCACGCAGGATTTGCCCAGGGCGTTGCCCTGTTACCCAGAACAACACACTGGCAAGGAGCTTAGATCCTGGATCAAACACACACATCTGTGCACACTCATACCTTTTACACACACACACACTCAGTCTCTCACTCTTATGATCATATGCATACTCTGACTAGAATTTAGAGCTCTTGATCCCTTTCCTTCCCCTGCTTTAACTGTGCTGTCCAAAGAAATCCAGGAGAATTTAAAGACATATGTGGAAACACACATGATCCAACCCTGTCCCACAATAGGGAGGTCAGTCCTCAGACTCTGAGGAATCTGAGTAGAAAGAAGTGTGTGCAACATGGAGCCTGGGCTGTGCCTTGCTGTGCCAGGTCTTGGATATGCATCCATTCCACATGGTTCTAAGCTGAGCACTGTTTATTAAGAGTCCAGTTCCTTCTTGGGCTGAATTTGGCTATCGGAGGAACGGGGTGTGTGTGTGTGTGTGTAGAAGTGAACTGGAATGTCCAGCTGTCAGGAGAGGTGGGAGTCTGTTGAATTGCACCTGTTGTCTTAAGGTCAAGGTTGAGGTCAAAGAGAGGCCAAAGCTAGATTCCAGTCCAGGTCCCCAAAGGCCAGACTACTCAGCCTTTTCCCCCTCCCTTTGGTGGCTCTGGGTCCCATAGGTCTCTGTCCTCCTGCCAGTAGCTGCTGGTAGTAGAAGGAATGGGGTGGATAGACTAGAAGCTTCTGGAGCCAAGAAAGAGTCCTGCCTCTTCATTCTTCTATATCCTTCCCTCCAATTGTAGAAGAAAGATCCCAAAGTTACTTCTTTGTCAGGGAAAAAAAAAGGAGGGGTGCCCTATAAGAAGTGCTGCAGGGGAAGGAGGGAGCAGAGGTAACCCCCTCCCCTTTGCTTCCTCCCTCCCAGCCTCCGCCTTCATACCTCACTCAGACTGCAAAACAACCCAGCTCCTTGCCAAGAGTTAGGCTGACTGAATTTCAGCTCTCCCTGCCTTTGCTTCCTCTTCCCTCTCCCTGGCTGCAAACTCAGGGAGAGATTCTTGACCCTTGGCCCTTTCCCTATAGGGAAAAAGAGCAACAAGTAGAACAGGGGGTGGACAGAATCATGAGCAATGAACAGAGCTGTGGGCCTCAGGGAGGGTCCAGGACAACTAAGGGGAGTGTGCTGGTGCGGGTGCTGGGGCTGGTAGGGCACTAGAGGTCACGCCAAGGGCCCTGATCTTGAATCCAGCCTTGGCAGATACCTGAGCTCTGGCCCTGGCCATGAAGAAGAGCCAGGAAGAGCACAGAGAGCATGCAGTACTGGACACAGCAGCTCACCTCCCAGCATTCCCTCCAGAGCCCAGCAGGAGGGGGAGGGGAGAAGGCTGAGGTCAGAACCAAGTTTTTCCTGAAAAGCCTCTTTCCTTGTTTGTCCTAGCCCCTCCCAGGCCCTCCCAGGCTCGCTGGGCTACAGCTTCCCAGCCCTGGGCCAGAGGCCCAGGACAGGCCAGGGAAGAGCCCACTGTCTTCTCTCTCCCACTTTTCCTTGGGGGCGGGGGCATAAAGCTGAAGTCCAGACTATTCTAAGGAGCCCATTTGAGGGAGCACATCTCCTGGGAGTCAGAGGGTCAGTGGTCAAGCCAGCTACTCAGTCACCTCCTCTCAGTCAACCTCACTGTCCTCTCTTGGTTCGCGCGCGTCCTCACCACCCAGGTTCCTCCTTCCTTGGTGCCCACACTCCTCCTTTTTTCCACCTCTCTGGTGACTGTCATGTTTCCAGGCATCTCTCAGTGCTGCCCCAGGAGCTGTCTGTGAACAAGTGGGGAAGGGCTTCTTGTGCAGGGAAACAAAAACAAAAACAAAAACCTCCCTAGAAGCGCTGGGACAAGGAGGAATTAGCAGGAAGCAGCAGGTGGCTCAGGCTCACTTGGCTGCTTGAAGAAGAGGCCCCATCTCTCCCCACAGTCCCAAGTCCTCGAGCAGGAGAGACCCATTTCCACCAGTGGGATAATTGCTGCTCTGAAGGGAGATGCTGGCTGTTTCTAACCCCTGGTCAGTGTTTCCCTTGCATGTCCGCCCATCTCCCTGCTGTTTAGGGTGGGCGGAGGGAACTAGGAATGAATGTCTGACCTTGGGCCACCCACTTCTTCTAGGCCTCATTTTCTTCTTACCGAGGAAAGGGGGCAGGGGTTAAGGTGATCTTCAAGTTCCCTTCTGAGTTCCCTTCTGTGGGATCTATATGCTGCACTCAAGCATTGGTGGTGGGGGGATGGGGTGTCACTCTGCCCCCAGACCCCTGCCTCACCTTTGGCCCCATTACTTTACGACCTCAAAGCACTTTCACCATGAAGTTCCCCTCCCTGGTCTTTTTTATTTCCCAGACAAAGGGAAATGACTCACCCCAAAGTCACCTCAAATGAGTGGGGTGGTGTCATACAAGCAAACAGGGAGTCCCTAGGGACAACGTCACCCCCATGGCAACAACTCCTTTCCCTAGGGGTGTTCTCCCTAAGGAGACTAGAAGGAAAAAGGGGTCACATTTCCTTTTGGTCTCAGGACTTGGCCCTGCAGCAGAAACTCAGCTTAAGTTCCTTACTCTGGGGATATCTGCCCCCCCCCCCCCCCCCCCCCCCGCTACTTGTCATCTCTCCCTGTGTCACCAGGAACCTCAAGGCGAGGTCAGTCCTGCAATCACGTGAAGCCCTCACGTTTGCAAGGTTTGCAGAAAGAGCCTGTTAGCTTTGATCTCCCAGGGAGCAGCCAAGCTGGCCAGTCCCTCCCCAGGAATTCACATGCCTCTGCCATACAGGCTTTCCAAACACGCCACCCTGACTTTTCAGTGCACCCCACCCCATTCGGTTCTTAGCTCCTCCCCGGCCCCAGCAACGGCTTTTGCAAGGCAGAAAGGGGGAGATAAACGCAGTCCGCCCACTTTGCCAGTGGACTACAAATCCCGACAGGCTTAGCGTTACGCAGGCGCACGGAGCTCAACGTGCCTGCTGCTGGAAAAGTGTGTCACTGGGGCACGAGGCGCTCCCTGGGATCACATGGTACCTGCTCCAGTGCCGCGTGCGGCCCGGGAACCCTGGGTTGCTGGCGCCTGCGCAGAGCCCTCTGTCCCAGGGAAAAAGGCTGGGGCAAAAGGCGGCTGAGATTGGCAGAGTGAAATATTGCTGCCGAGGGAACGTAGCAGGGCACACGTCTCGCTTCTTTGCGCCTGGGTGCCCCCTTTCTCCCCATCACCTACTTACTTCCTGACTGCATCCTCTCTCCCTCTGGGACTTTTGCACCGGGAGCTCCAGATTCGCTACCCTGCAGCGCTGTGAAGCCGTCAGGCAGTGGCACCCCGTGCACTGCAGAGACCCGACCCTCCTTGCTACCTTCCAGCCAGAACTACAGCAGGCTGATTTCCCCCCTCCCCCACACTCTGCTCTTCCCATGCAAAGCAGACCTCCGTTGCCTCTGCGTCCTACCCTTCTGCAGGGCGGCAGTCCGGCCACCCTGAGACCTTGCTGCAGGGTGCCTCGGATCCTGCTTGTGATCCGCGGGGTCCATTCCCCGCCCTCAGTCACTGCCCAGGGGGCGACAGCGGCATTTGCAACCTCCAGTTTGTGTCAAGGTCCAGTTTGAATGACCGCTCTCAGCCGGTGAAGACATGACGACCCTGGACTCCAACAATAACACAGGTACCGGGGTTCCTTTACTATCATCATTCTTTGTCACTGTCTCCTCACTTCCATATATGCCTTAGAACAAGAGGAACTTTGTAAGGGACTGGGGACTCCCTTGGCCCGGGGATTTGCTAGCATAATGGGGACCATAGGCTGGGATTTCAAGAGCGAGTTGTTCGTCCTGGGAATGCGCCCGGAGGCGCCCCACCACCACCTCTCAGAGTCCCAAAGCTCCTTTTAGCCCGAAAGACTCGGATCCCGGGCAGGAGGTAATGGAGAGCGGGTACGTGTGGTAAGATGCACAGTTTTGAGGGACTGGGAGCTTTGGAGCAGAGCCCCAAACGCCCCTACCCTCCCCTCCCCCCTCGCTGCAGCTGTGGCATGCCTGGCTTTCTCGGAAAGAGGACCCCTCTCCTTCCTCTCCTCCTCCTCCCCTAGTTCCTGCAAGCTCAAGGGAACCCGAGAAGCATTGGGGCGATAGGGGCTCCAGGCGGGAGGGACTGGGGGGAATGGGTCGGATCTCACTGGGGAATCCTCAGTGACAGTAGGGAGCGGCACTTGAGGCGCCAGCAGAGTGGTGCCCTGCCCCAGGGAGGACACCCACAGCGACCGGGAGGCCCGGAGGGCTCACATGGCTGCGGAGTCGGGCCCACGTGCTGCGTTTGTTTTCATTCAGCAGAAGCCGTGGCCGCCACCCCATTGGTCGTTGCCTTCCGGCCCCGTTACATAATGAGCTCCGCCCCCCCGGGTCGCCCCGGCAACGCGTGTTCCCTTCTCTCCTCCCCTCAGTTGCCCCGGCCCGGCTGGCGTTTGGGGCCCAGCCCAGGACCCGGAGGCCCGGGAGGGGCGGGACGGGGGCGGGGCTGCTGCTCCCGATTGACGGGAAGGGGAGAGGGCGGGGCCCCGAGTTCCGGGGTTCCTCGTTGGGGAGCCACGTGCAGGAGGCACACGTGGAGTGGGGACGTGAGGCCGGCTGAGGGCCCGGCTCCCGCCCCGCCCCGCCAAGATCTGGGTGAAGCTGGGCTGACTCACCGCCCCCGCCTGCCTCCTTTTCCTGTCCGCCTGCCTGGGGCCCCCTTTCTCCCCATCACCGAAGCAGAGTAAGATGGAGCCATCCGTGACCTCTCGTGGCCTCATGTTTACACTCCTCAATGGTACCTCACATCTAGCCACCCTTCTCCTCGTTCTTTTCCTTTTTATTCTGTTTGCACCTACTTCACTTTATTGCCTTTAGACTCCGTTTCGCCGCGTTCCAAATTCTTGCTGTTCCTGGAGCATCTCTTTCCTTAGTCCTGCAAACACACTGTCTTAACTCCCCACCCCCACCAAGCAAGCAGCAGTTTGTCACGAAGGACTTCCCCAGAACAGCTACATCCCAGAATCGTAACTGAAGATTTCACCTTTTTTTCCTTTTTTTTTTTTTTTCTCTTTACAGAAAGGAAAACTGAGACCCAGGGAGGGGAGTTAATTTCCTCTAGGTCACAAATCAAGTTGGTTGTGATAGATCTAAATCTAGAACTAGACTCTTTGGGGCATGCCCCTTACTTCCAGGTTCGGATTATCTTTGGATGAAGGTCTTACTCCCTTTTGGGGGATGGGTGAATTAGGTCAGGTTCATTTACCACCAAATAATATCCCATTTCCCCTCCCACCTGAACCCTGAAACTGTAGGAGCTGATCTGTTGTGCAACTATTTTACTGGGAACTGGGTTCACCCTGACCAACCTTGAGCTATTTTAAGGTTGCCCTGCCCAGCTCTGTGTGTGTCAGTGGGTGAGCAAGACATGTGCCTCTGGATACACGGTGACATGGCTTGTGTCGGCTCACACGTGTCCTAGGATCCTCCCTTCTCCCACCCCGCCTGTGGCAGGCCAAGCTAGGTGCCTGGCAAAGGTGTGGCAGGCAGGTCACCTTTTCTCCTCCTAATACCACGGGAACACAGCCACCTGGTTGGCAATGTAACCAGAGGGCCGAAGTCCCTAAATGGCTGGAGAGCCAAGGTCATTGTCACCAGGCTGAGAGATCTAGAAGGGAATTTCCAAAGCCTTAGGCTGGACAATTTTTTTTTCATGTCCACCTCCCGCAATGTGCACTGCTAAGTCTTTCCTGGACTCGGAGGGAGAATCCGCTCTGACTCTTCCTCTTGGAGGCCAGGGGAACCAGCCTGGGCAGGTTCAGTACCTTCAGTATCTTGGGAGAATATGTCTTCCAGTTTTGGGGGAATGTGACTGGCTTACTCTTGTTAAGACCTCTACTCTCGTCAGCGTTGGCTAGCTGGCCCTCCATAGTCTCATCCCTGGAATGGGCTTGGTGTTAACATTGGCAGCTGTTTTTTTGGGGGGGGGTAGGGGAAACTGGGCATTCTGAATGGGTCTCAAAGGCTCATCCCATTGTCAGGTCTGCCTCTGACAACTCAATCATTAGCAGCAGGCGATATTCCCAGGGAAGGCGTCCGGGGCAGGGGCCGGTGGGCGGGGGGGTTACATACGTGAGATGCCTGCAGAGGTCCTGCCTCTAGGGAGGCACCTCACACCCAAGGCAGAAGCTGAATGTGCCCTGCAAAGGGTCTTGGGGTGTTGGTTGGCCATGTCATGTCTGGTACGTGTTGGGGAGTTGCTCACTGCGGCTCTTCCTGGGACTCCCAAGATTCAGGGTTCCACATGGTTAACTTCTGAGCATCCAGCAGTGTTTGGGAGAGGAAGGTGGGGGGGGGGCGATGAGCATAGTGGTGCCCTGGGACCAAAGATATTTGGCGGCTGACACCCCCTTCCCTTGTGTTCTCCTGCCAGGTGGTGTCATCACCTACATTGGCTCCAGCGGCTCCTCCCCAAGCCGCACCAGCCCTGAGTCTCTCTACAGCGACAGCTCAAATGGCAGCTTCCAGTCCCTGACTCAAGGCTGCCCTGCCTACTTCCCACCGTCACCCACGGGCTCCCTCACCCAGGACCCAGCTCGCTCCTTTGGGAGCATTCCACCCAGCTTAAGCGATGATGGCTCCCCTTCTTCATCTTCCTCATCATCGTCCTCCTCCTCCTTCTATAATGGGAGCCCCCCAGGGGGTCTACAAGTGGCCCTGGAAGATAGCAGCCGAGTGTCCCCCAGCAAGAGCACCAGCAACATCACCAGTGCGTAAATTTCCAGCTGATCTGGGGAAAGGCGGCCAGGCCTAGGTTGGGACTTGGCGTTCCCATGACACCGTTATTCTATTCGCGGGGCCTTCCCCGGCCTCAGGGCTTTCTCCTAGAGTTGCACCAGCCGCTGTCCAGCCCATCTCTGGCTGCTCAGACGGCCCTCCTGCTCACCCGCGGCCTCTCTCTTCCCGCAGAGCTGAATGGCATGGTGCTCCTGTGTAAAGTGTGCGGGGACGTGGCCTCGGGCTTCCACTACGGCGTGCATGCCTGTGAGGGCTGCAAGGTGAGGCGGGGTGGGGGTAAGGGCGGACGCGCAGGCCTGGCCTGGACAGAGATGCTCACTAGCTGCCCCCATCCTTCCAGGGCTTTTTCCGTCGGAGCATCCAGCAGAACATCCAGTACAAAAGGTGTCTGAAGAACGAGAATTGCTCCATTGTCCGCATCAATCGGAACCGCTGCCAACAGTGTCGCTTCAAGAAGTGTCTCTCCGTGGGCATGTCTCGAGACGGTAGGGCGGCACCGTTGCCCCGCAAGCGTCCCCCCCACGCCCCCCCTCCACCCAGAGTTCCTGAGTTCATCCCTCCCCTTAAAATGTCCCAACGGAGACCCGTCCCGCCGTGAGGCTCCTTTGCGTCGGGGACGCCCCTCTTTCATCCTCTCGGGTGAACACACTTCTCTCCTGTTCACTCCTTCCCTACTTGGAAACCCCCCCTCTGTGGGCAGGGCCTTGGTTCTGGTTTTGATGTGGAACCCCGAGCCTTGAGGGCCTTGCCCTTTCAGGAGGGAGGAAGGAAGAGAAGCACGTGAGCGTGTATGAGAACTTCCTGACGCTGCTCTCATCCCGCCACAGCTGTGCGCTTTGGGCGCATCCCCAAACGAGAGAAGCAGCGGATGCTTGCCGAGATGCAGAGCGCCATGAACCTGGCCAACAACCAGCTGAGCAACCAGTGCCCGTTGGAAACCTCGCCCGCCCAGCACCCGACCCCAGGCCCCATGGGCCCCTCACCACCTCCCGCTCCGGCCCCCTCACCCTTGGTGGGCTTCTCCCAATTCCCACAACAGCTGACGCCTCCCAGGTCCCCGAGTCCTGAGCCCACGGTGGAGGATGTGATATCCCAGGTGGCCCGGGCCCACCGAGAAATCTTCACCTATGCCCATGACAAGCTGGGCACCTCACCCGGCAACTTCAATGCCAACCATGCGTCCGGCAGCCCTCCGGCCACCACCCCACACTGCTGGGAGAGTCAGGGCTGCCCTCCTGTCCCCAATGACAACAACGGCATGGCTGCCCAGCATCATAATGAGGCCCTGAATGGTTTACGCCAGGCTTCCTCCTCCTACCCTCCCGCCTGGCCCCCTGGCCCTGCCCACCACAGCTGCCAGCAGCCCAACAGCAATGGGCACCGTCTCTGCCCCACCCACGGGTACCCAGCCCCAGAAGGTGAAGCCCCTGCCAACAGTCCACGGCAGGGCAACTCCAAGAACGTTCTGCTGGTGAGGGCACTGGGGGGTGAGATGGGCAGGGGGCCTGGGAGACTGGGTTTAGCAGAAGGCAGCTGGGTGTGCCTGGACGCTAATGCAGGAATATCCTCTTGCCCGGGGAGGATGCTCAGCCCTGCAGTAAGGGCTCTGCCTGCGAATCCCTGATCTCCACCTGGCACCTGATTGCTACTGTACCTAAAAGACCCATCCTCTGGGGCCACAGCCCCTAACCCAGGCAGAAGCTGGGGTCCAGCCCTGCTGGGGGAACCCATCTGAGCCAGCCTGGTTGATACTCCCTTCCCCAAACCCCTTCCTTCTCCAGGCGTGTCCCATGAACATGTACCCACACGGACGCAGTGGAAGAACCGTGCAAGAGATCTGGGAAGATTTCTCCATGAGCTTCACACCCGCTGTGCGGGAGGTGGTAGAGTTTGCCAAGCACATCCCTGGCTTCCGTGATCTTTCTCAGCATGACCAGGTCACGTTGCTTAAGGCTGGCACCTTTGAGGTGAGTGACCCTTTGTGCTCCCTGCTCTTGACCTTGAGAAGGATCCAGTGGAAAGACTTGGTGTCTGGGATAGGCAGGGGCTCTGAAAGGCTTTGGAACCCCGGTATCTCTGTTCTGGGAGACTCTGACTGCCGGAGGAGGGGGCAGAATCCCTCCCCGTCCTGCCTTGGGATGGCTGGGTCTCCTGTCATCTCAGCTGGGGTCTAATCACATCCCATTACCTTAAAATAACACCTTCGGGCACATTGCTACCCCCTTCCAGGCATGAGCAAATTCAGTTGGGTGAACTTTTGTGACCTTGCCCAAGGTCACGGGGAGTGACAAAGCTAAGACTCAGATCCAGGCCTGCTGGCCATCCCTCTCTCTCTCCCCCACCCCCACCCCACTGCCCATTCAGAAACCACCCCCACTCTTTCCTGAGAAATCTAAGGCAGCACCACTGAAACCCTCTGGAAAAGTTCAGGGTCAATTTGGCAAGTGCTCCCCCCACCCCACCCGAGGATGACGGTCCCTGTCCTCCCCACCCCCCGCTTAGGTGTTGATGGTGCGCTTTGCATCGCTGTTCAACGTGAAGGACCAGACAGTGATGTTCCTGAGCCGCACCACCTACAGCCTGCAGGAACTCGGAGCCATGGGCATGGGGGACCTGCTCAATGCCATGTTTGACTTCAGCGAGAAGCTCAACTCCCTGGCGCTTACCGAGGAGGAGCTGGGCCTCTTCACCGCGGTGGTGCTTGTCTCTGCAGGTAGGTCAAGCTCCCGCCTGAGCCTGACCCCGGGGGAGGAGGCGGACGCAGTTCAATTCAACACACCTTTTATGGAGCACCTACTCTACGCCAGGCCCTGCACCGGGCACTGGGGGTACAGACATGATTCAGACACAGTCTAGCTGGGGAGACAGACTCATGCCCGCCTAATTATAAAACAGTGAGATCAGTGTCACAGTAGAAGCATGAACCAAGGGCTTTGGAAGCACAGACAACTATTTCTGCCTGGGGGAGCTGGGGAAAGAGGTGACACTTGAGTGGGGCCTCACAGGACAAGTAAGATATTGCCAGGCAGAGAGGGGGAAGGGCATCCCGGGCAGAGGGAACTACAGAGCAAAAAGCAAGGGAGCCTGGATGCGTTCGGCCTGTTCAGGGAAGGAGAGTGGCCTTGTGGGCTGGGAGGTGACCAGCCCCGCTGAGCCTGCGCTCCCAGCTTTCAGCCACCTCCTGCTCTCGGGGCAGAGGCCGGGGAGGAGGAGTTGCGCTCCCCTCCTCCTCCTTCCCCCCGTGGGCCCTCTGAGGGGCGTCAGGGAGAGGGTGCACCAGCAGCAGCCGCGTCCTCCTCCTCCTCCTCGGGGACCTCCTCGGGGACCTCCTCGGAGACCTCCTCCGGTTCCTCCTCAGAGGAGCTCGGGGAGCCTGCCTCACTGCTGTCGTCTTCCCCACAGACCGCTCGGGCATGGAGAATTCCGCTTCGGTGGAGCAGCTCCAGGAGACGCTGCTGCGGGCTCTTCGGGCTCTGGTGCTGAAGAACCGGCCCTCGGAGACTTCCCGCTTCACCAAGCTGCTGCTCAAGCTGCCGGACCTGCGGACCCTGAACAACATGCATTCCGAGAAGCTGCTGTCCTTCCGGGTGGACGCCCAGTGACCCGCCCGGCCGGCCTTCTGCCGCTGCCCCCTTGTACAGAATCGAACTCTGCACTTCTCTCTCCTTTACGAGACGAAAAGGAAAAGCAAACCAGAATCTTATTTATATTGTTATAAAATATTCCAAGATGAGCCTCTGGCCCCCCGAGCCTTCTTGTAAATAACTGCCTCCCTCCCCCCATCACTGACCCTCCCGGCCTCCCCTATTTAAATCACTCTTCCCTCCCTCCACCTTATTCTCTAGCCCCCCGATTTGTTCTATTCCTGTCTCAAATCCAATAGTTCACAGCTGAGCTGGCTTCTGTGGTGTGTGCTCGTTTGGGGGGCTGGGTGGAAATATTGCCAAGCCTGGGGCACACCTCTCCATCTGGTCAGTTGGTGGGGTGGGTACTCTGCCAGCAGATGGAAGGATACAGGGAAACAGCACACAAATCTAAGGGGGGTGCCCAAGGGGGTTATTTTCATCATATATTTATTACATAAATATATAGTAAAATAGACGAGCAACAATTACCATAAAAATATCTTTCTTTAAAATCCTGACCCAAAACACAACGGGGTGAAAAATCGCACGTAACAGACATACTGATTGTCAACGTGGGGCAGGAGTAGGAGCCCCCCAAGTCACCCCTACCGGCCCCCCTCCCCCCTCCCTGGGGAAAGGGGACCTACCTCCTTCCCTGTTTCTGGCCACGACCCCCCTCCCCCCACCCCAGCACCAACTTCTCATACATTCAGTAGCGCCTCCAGGGAAGTGCCCCCTCCCCCCACCCAGGAGTTCCTGGGGCAGGAATTACTGTCCCCCTTATGGACGGTGTCTGTGTCACACGCCCTGCCCTCTCCCAGCCCTGTAGACCCGCCACCAGGGGAAGGGGTAGGGGCTCCTCCACCCCCACCCTCCCCAAGGCTGAGCAGGGAGGAGGCTGGATGAGGTATGTGTGTTCTGAGTGATGGGGGGGGATACTGAGATGGAGAGGCGGGGTGGTGGGCACGGGGGAGTGGTCATGGCTCTGGCACCCCCTTGTCCTGGCCTGGCCCATTCCCAGCAGTCCCTCCTCCCACCAATACTGCACCTGCTGCCCCGCCCCACCTGCCCTAGTGCCCCGGGCCAATACTGGGGGAGGCATGCTAAGCACCCACGTCAAGGCCATCCCCCACATTAGCACCAATGGCCCCCAGGAGAGGGCCCTGTCCCCCACTTCCAAAGCAGGGACTGGGACAGCTGCCTCTAGAGCAGGTGCGTGGTGCTCCTGAGTCCCCTGGCCCCTGCCCCACCACGTGTCCTTGCTCACACATTCACGCAGAGAAACACACACATACACCCCACATCACCTAGAGTGAGGGGGAGGGGTCAGAGATGGGGGGGAGGAGGAGGGGATCACAGCTCATATGACTGGGGGAAGGGGGAGCGGGGGAGGGATTCCCAAGTGCCTGTAAGAGGCCAAGCCCCTTCAAGGCCTTTTCTCCACCATGTCCATGGCTGAGAATGGGGATTGGGGGTGGGGGGGAGTTGAGGTGGGGATGGAAGGATGGGGGAGACAGCAGACAGGTCAGGAATTCCACTGGGCCCCCAGGGGTGGTGCACCCCCAGAGGAGGGTACAAGAGGGCTTACCCATGGGACTGGAGTAATACAGGAATCAGTACCCCAGGAGAGAGAGAGGAGAGAGACAGACAAAGACAGCAGGGGCAGCCCACGAGCCCAAGGAGGGCCGGGCAGGCACATGCACAGGTGACCGCAGATGTTCTTCCAGGCCCTCCGCCCCCGTCAGAACACCTGCACGGTGGGGGAAGGACGTGCCCTGTTGGGCGGCATAGCGTTGCCTTCCCGTGTGTGTGTGCGCACGTGTGTGCGTGTGTGTGTATGTGTGTGTAGGGGGCTGTGGCAGGCTGAGGGTCAGGGTGGGATGGCAGGTTCCCCACAGCTTAAGACATTTTTGCCCCAATAGTGCAAAGCGCAGGAAGCCCTGGCACCCCTCCCCCTGCCCCTGCCCCATTCCCCATGGCTTCCGGGGGCATCTAGGTCCACCCATCCATCCCTGCCGACATGCAGCCCTGAGCCCAGGGCCCTCTGGTCTGCTCTGTCCCGCCCCACCCTCCTCCCCCCACCCATGGGAGGGCTACCTCCTCCCTCCCTCTCTCCCCTGTGGAGTGGGCAGTGGGCAATAGCCAAAAGGAAGAGGAGGAGGGCAGCTCACCCAAGTGCAGACCAACAGAGCACTCCTCACCAGGAGGGTGGGAGGTGGCTCAAGCCAAAGTCCCTGAATTAGAGAAAAGAAGAGGGGAAAGGGGTCCTAGGGGCAGAGGGGCGGCTGGCCTAAAGAGCTTCAAAGAAAAAAGGAGGAGCACCAACCGCCCCCTCCCCTGGGGCCCCAACTAAGTGCCATTTGTCTAGGCACCCCCATTCTGGTGCCTGCCCGCCCCGAGTCTGGGTTAGTGCATTGAGTGGGAGTGGGGAAGAGGGCAGAGGTTAGAGAGAGCCCAGAAGACAGAGCGGGACAGGGTCCTAAGGGAGTGGAGGCTCTGGGAGAAGCTCACACACACCGCCCCCCCCGCCCCCTCCCCCAGCGCAGCAGCATCTGGATTGTAGCTAATACTGCAGATGTGAGGAGGGCAGGAGGTGGAGCCACAGTTTTTCCTGTGTGGGTGCCAAGGTGTGGAAGGAGTGGGGGGGGGCAGGGAGAGGCCCCTGGGGCTGGGCACTTGAGAGGGGAGCTGTGTGGGCAGCAGGGCAGGCTGGTGAGGGGCCAGCTGGCATCCAGCGTGAGAGGTAGATGGAACTCAGCGGGCACGAGTGGCAGAGAGCAGAGGGAGCACTGGGCTGGGGGGGGGGGGTGCCGAAGGGGCACAGAGGGAGGGGCAAGGCAAGGAGGGATGGCCAGGACCCTGTTGTGTTAACTCACAGCTCTGATCGGCAGCCCTACCCTCGGGGACCTGGTATGGGGGGGCAGTTCTCTCTGATTTGGGGGGAGGCGCAGCTCTCAAAGTGCTTAGGGGTGGTAGGGGGCCAGCCTCGGTTAATAACTTAATATCATCTCTCTCTCTCTCTCTATCAGTCGCTCACTCTTTTTTTTCTTTTTCTCTCTGTCTAGTTTTTCTTCATTTATCTTCTCCCCTTGCCTGGTTTCCAAAGTGCAGTTAGAATGACTAATTTTTAACCTCCAGGGGGGAGGAGCCAAGCCAAGTCTTTCTTTGCACCCAGGCATCTGGGGGAGCAGAGAGGCTCTTAGCCTGGAGGGGGAACCTCGGTCAAGGATCTGGGCAGTGGGGCTCTCTCTTGTGTGTGTGTAGGGGCTGAGTTGAGGGCATCTTCCCCCCACCCCACATTCCTCCATCCCCTACGGTCAAGATGGCTTGTCCCCTCTTAGTTCTCCCTCCCTTCCCCTACCTTCTTAGAGGATGGGGTCCTGGGAACTGCAGGACACGGTCCCCCAGCCTCCCACACTGTCCTTTTCATAGCAAGTTCATGTGTTTGCCCTGTCCCAGGGCTGGAGGTTCTGAGGAGGGACGGGCAGTGCAGGGGTGTGTGTGGGAGCTGAATCTATCCGAGGACGAGAGGAAGGAGAGAAGAGGGGTGGGGGGCCTCCCTCAGCCCCCAGCTCTGCCCCTTCTCTCCAGGCTCCTCCCCACCAGCTCCGCACACCCTCTGGCCGCCTGAGGCTTTAGACTTCCTGATCCTCAAAGACCTCGAGGAAGAGTGGGGGGAACAGTTCGGTGGGGCACTCGACTTTCATGTGGAGGAAGCGGCTGGCGTGGCAGGCCCCGATCATGCGGAGGTCAGTCACCTTCATCAGCAGCTTGGGCCAGAAGTGCGGAATGTTGTGTTTGCGGTGGTTGACGTAATGCTCGAACGCCAGCAGGTACGCCTCCTGACTCTTCTCGATCTTGTCCACACACAGCAGGCCCGAGCGGTCTGCAGGGGAGAAGCGGCATGAGGGCGAGTGAGTGGAGGGAGACGGAGGCAGAGAGGCTAAGGCGGGCAGGGGGAGAGAGACACAGACAGGGTGGGGCGCATACATGAGCAAGAGCTAGGGCTGAGGAGGAGGCTGGGGCGCCGGGGGTTTGGAGAGGTAACGAATAAAGAAGACAGAGGGACTGAGAGGTGGGAAGAGAGGGGAAACCTGGAGACAGGGCAGGACAAGGGGGCAAAGAGAAGGGTTGGTGGGCAGAGGGGCAGAGGGGATGAGGGGCAGGGAGAAGGGACTGAGGACAGAGGAGGGATGGGGGACAGAAGGTACCTGGGGGGGGTGTGGGGGAACAAAGGCAAATGTGGGCAACAGAGAGCGGATGGGGGGGCCGAGAGAAAGAATGGGGTGAAGATGGGACAAGGAGCAGAGGAGGCATGGGGAGGCAACAGATGGGCCTGGACATCAGAACCAAGGAGGGGATGGGTGTCAGAGGAGGGGACAGGGCACAGAGAATGGGCCCAGGCACAGAGGTAAGCTTGGGGGACAAAGATTGTAGCATTCAGGGAAGAGGAGAGTGACGGGCCAGGGCCCAGCCAAGCTCCAGGCCCCTGGAAGCTTCTGAGCCCTCCCAGCCAGGAGGCAGGTACCTGTTGACATTAGCAGCACAGCCTGCAGCAGAGCCACTTCCGTATCATCCAGGTTAAAGGCAGAGAGTGACTTGCCCAGTTCAAAGATGGCGTCCGAGACTACGCCCAGGCCGCCATTCTTGAGCTGCTCCCGCTTGACGGCCATCTCCCCGCTCAGCGTCAGGGTGTCGCTCTCGGGGTCATAGCGGACAGCCGCCCGCAGGGACATGATCTCCATGCAGCACCCCTTCAGGAGGATGATCTGGTCTTCGCAAGGCAGCTGCGGAGTGGCAGGGCCACAGGGACACTCAGCACGCCCCTGCCTCCCCGCGAGTGTCCCCTGGGGGTGTGCTTTGGGAGCTGTGAGGTCCCCACCGGCCTCAGCCAGTAAGGTGTACTCTGAACAGCTAACCTTGCTCTGGGCCGCGGGCATGCCCTTTGTCGTTAAACCTCACAATCATGCCTATGAGTTAGCGCCCATCATTATCTGCAGCCCGACTGCAGAGGGCGGAAGTGAGGTAGGCGGTTGGGTAACGTGGCCAAGGACACACAGCTAGTAAGACAGCCTGCGCCCAGAGTTAGTGCCCTTGAAAATGACAACGTTCAAGCTGCTGGAGCCAGGATGGTTATGGAGATGTAGGGAGAAAGGGGCAGGGAGGGGTTGGGAGGCTGGACACGTGGAGCCTCTTGGGTCCTTAGGCACTGGCTAGCCGTGCGTGCGTGTGCGCGCGCGCGTGCGTATGCACGTGCATGTGTACATGCGTGCGTGCGTGTTCGCTATGTGTTGACCTACAGGAATTGCTCCCTGTCCAGAGAACCTCAGATGAGCATGTGCTGACACTGGGTGACCCAGGGAGCAGGCCCAGTTCCCCTCCAGTGTGGCACCATGCCTCTTCCCATCCGCCACTCACCTCGGAGAACATGGGCAGTTTTTTGGCAAAGTCCACCACACGGGTGATGGCCGGGGTGATGATCTTGGTAAACTCGCTGAAGGCCTCTAGGTCCACCTTGTCTCCATCCGGCATAGAGACGATGGGTGACTGGCCGATGTCATCCGGCTAAGGGAAGAGACAGGGGTCAGCTGGGGCTGCAGACCCCTTTCCACCTCTCACTGAGGCTCCCTGCCCACCAGGGGGAGCTCCAAGGCAGGTTGGGGACGAGGGGCCGCCAGTGTCCCGGGGACTGCTGTGTCCCTGGCCTAACGCTTCTCCTTCACCTTGGGGCAGAGAATAGATCAGAGCCAGAGCGACAAGTCGGCTAATAATAACAATGATCACAACAGTAGTAGAAGTAATATCATAATAATAGAAGCTATGTTTATTGAATATTTAATACGCAGCTAGGCACGAGGCGACAGGTTTTTTTTTTATTATTTTTTTAAAGATTTTATTTATTTATTCGACAGAGAGAGAGACAGCGAGAGAGGGAACACAAGCAGGGGGAGTGGGAGAGGGAGAAGCAGGCTTCCCGCTGAGCAGGGAGCCCGACGCGGGGCTCGATCCCAGGACCCCGGGATCACGACCTGAGCCGAAGGCAGACGCCTAACGACTGAGCCACCCAGGCGCCCCAAGGCGACAGGTTTTATATATCTCATTTAACCTTATGAGGAGGATGTTCTACTTACCACCATTTGACAGATGAGGAAACTGAGGCATAGGGCAGCTAAGTAATAAGCCCAAGGTGACAAGACTAGTAAGTGGTAGAACCAGGATCAGAACCCAGGCAGTCTGAATCCTGACCATTGTACCCACATGTGCTTGGTCTTGGAGCCTGTGCTCTTGGTAATATACTGTTCCACCCACTGGCACACTCCCCCCAGGAACCAGATGCCAGTTCCCTTGCCTTCACTCGCCATATACAACCAACTGTCCATCTCTTCCCTAACCGACCGTTCACTCAGCACTCAGTTTTGCCAGAGCCTAACACAATGCCTGGCACCCATCAGGCGCCCCCGAATGCTGTTACATAACTGGGTCCTTACCCTCTCCTCCCAGTCACTGTGGGCAGGAAAAAAGGGAGAGGTTGCCCCTGCTCTCTGGAAATTCAATGAGGAGGGCCAGGCCCTGTCCTCCTGAAGCCCCCAGTTGGATGGACCAGGCAGGCCTCTGACAGCAGCAACCCACACACGGGTGCATGACTCAGGATTGCCAAGTTGCAGAGAGCATTAGCTTCGGGTCAGATTAAACTAAGAAGACTTCCTGAAGGAGGCAAGGCTCTGAGCTCGTTCTCCCTCCTGGGCACTTGGCTGCCGCCCTCCGCGAGCCCCCTCCCTCCTTACCAGGAATTTCCGCCTCTGCTTCCAGTGGCTGCCCTGGGCATTCGTGCTGCGATGGGCCTCTGTGGCAACATGGATCAGGTCCCACTCTTCGGGAGTGGGCTCTGGTCGCTGCTGCAGTGATCGGATCATTTCCTCCTTCCGTCGCCGCTCCCGGTTCTGCTCAATCAGCTTGCGCTTGGCCACCCGCTTCGAGTCATCTAGAACCACTGTCAAGAGCAGAGAGACGCGACGCCCTTTGCATGCCACTCTCCACAACCTGCTCAGAAACTACTCTTCCCAATGTACAGGTTGGGAAACTGAGGGCCGGAAAGGTTAAGTGACTTCCCAGATCACCCGGAAGTTGGGTGGTACAACCCGGATCATGATAATCAGCTGGGACCACATCAACTCCAATTTGAGCTGATCCAGACGATTATCACATCCTGGTCTAAAGGGTGACGACAGCAGTGGTTACTAGAAGACCCTGCTACCTGATCCCTAGCCGATGCAAGATGCCCTCTCTCACCCAGAAGTGGGGTGCCTTCTCTTGTAGTCAAGAACACTGTGCCAGGCCGGGGTCCTCAGGACTTCTTTCTACCCGACAACTCTAAGGCCCTGACCTGCTGAAAGGCAGGTAGGCACCGGGAGGAAGTAGGGCTCATGGAGGGTTCCTGCTTCCTTTTCCCCAGGGATAAGGGCAGCAGGGACCAAGATCCTGAACACTCACTCCACCATCAGCCTGACCTGGATCGTCACTCTGTGCTGTGGGCCCTGAGGATCCCCTGGCAGGAAGCAGTCATACCTGAACCAGCCCCCCCTCCCCCGCCCGCCCAGCCACAGCCACTTGGCTCCACCCCCCCGTCCCCTTACAGTCCATGGCCATGCCCACGGCGATGCACTTCTTGAAACGACACAGCTGGCACTGGTTGCGGGTGATCTTGTCAATGACACAACAGCTGTCATATTTGCAGGAGTAGGTGGGATGGAGGTTCTTCTGGATTGTGCGGCGAAAGAAGCCCTGGGGTGGAGGGAGATTGGAGCACGGAGCGATCGTGACCTCCCCTGCCCTAACTGACCGTGCAGGTCACTGGGGCGTGGAGGGTTAGTGAGGGGACCTGGCGTCCTCCTGACACCAGCAAGCCCAGGATCACTTGGCTGGGCCGAAGGACCTTAGAAATACATGTCCTCAGCTCCTAGGCTGTGGGGGGGCAGGGGCGGGTGGGTGGTGGCAGGGGTAAGGATGAGGACCACAGTACAGAGACATGAGTCTGGGATGGTGTCAGGTGCTACGACGCCTGAAGGAATAGCAGCTTTGGAGGTCCAACGGATACCTCATTTTCCATCTTGCTAAACAACTCGGAAAATAAAACGGACCCCTGCCCCGCAAACCATCCTTATACATGCTGCTTGCTGCTCACGCAGGTGGAACTCTTGAAATGGGGGGGGGGGGGGGGTCAAAAAAAATCAAGAAAAGACACCGTGTATGGACACTTCTAGTAGCTTTAAGAGAAACTGTTTAATTCTATGTATCGGGTTTTGTCTTTGCTTTAAAGGTAAAACCTCAAGAATCAAGATGGCAGTAACAATACCAAGAGCTAATATGTGCTGAAGGCTCAGGATGAGGCACTTATAAGCCTTTTTTATTTATTTACTTATTTATTTTTGGTGCATCATCGCATCTGATGCTGTGCCAACCCCATGAGGTAGGAACCCATTTTGAGACTAGGAATCTGAAGTTTGGAGAGATTAAGCAATCTGCCCAAAGTCATCTTAGCCAAATGGGCAGGAGAGCCAGAACTGGACCTGAGCTACGGGACACAAGGTCCGAGTTCACAGATCCTGCAGTGCACGGAAATCATCTAATGCACTTACGAAAAATACCAATTCCTGGGTCTCACTCTAGACCTACAACATCAGACTCTGGAGGGGCGGGGACCAAGGCATTTCTGGCTTTCGGGGATGCTCCTCTGGGACTTGGCTGTCCTGGAGAGTGAGGATCCTTGCTCTATGTTACACTGCTTGCAAATGGCTCCAGGAACCCTGCTACGGGACCCTAAGTCCCCGGGGCTCTTGGCTTGGTTGATACTAAGAGAGAAAGCAACTGGAAGCCTTAACATAGTTTTAAATACTTTTGTTTCTTGGCAAGTCTTACATTTTCACGAGGTGATGACCCTGGAAAACCCTTGCAGGTTAAAATGAGCAAAGTGAGATCTAACTAAGGCCCCCCAAGCCTATGACCTTGTCCCTTCTGCCCAGGGACACCCTGGCATCCCCTCCCGCTCTGGGCCCCACCATGCCCCCCTCCCCAGCACTGGTTCTCTCCCTTCTAGGTGCAAGGAGAAGCAACTGGGGAACCTGTTTCAAGGCAGAGTCCACAAAGGCTTCACCACGAAAAGTTCTGATTGAGTAGGGTGGGATGGGGCCCGGGGCTCTGCACTGAGCTCGTACTGAGGGTGGCCCCGGACCACATTTTGAAACAGTGTTCGTTTCTAGTGTGCCTCTCTCTGGTAGGCTGTGAGCAGCTGGAGGGCAGGGCATGTACTACATCCCTCATACCTGATCCACCAACTGGATGGACGATAGCTGGGGTTTACTGAGCGCTTCTGACGTGCCTGGCACGGTTTTAAATACTCTGTATGAATTAGCTCATTTAATTCTCCCGACAGCTCTCTGAAGTAGGTAGCAGGATTATCCCCATTTTATAGATGAAGAAACTGAGGCCCAGAGAAATTAGGCATCGTACGTATGAGTGGCAGAGCAGAGACTGTGAATGAACAAATGGATGAAAGAGAGAGCAATGGTGGTGCAAACAGGTGGGCATGTTTATAGGGCTGTCCTTGCCAGGTGCTGAGGGCCTTAAGGCGGGTGAGATGGGGGCTCGGGTGGTGGGGGAGGGGCAGGAGCTGGCTGGTCCGTACCTTGCAGCCCTCACAAGTGATGCAGCGGTAGTGATAACCGGTTGCCTTGTCCCCACACACGACACACTGCTCGTCTTTGTCCAGGTAACTAGGGATATACCCTGGGAGGGAGGAAGGGAGGCAGGCAGGCAGGCATGGTTTGGGCCCCCAGCAGAGAGGCTCCTACACTTTTTCATCCCCCAACTTTTCCTTCCTGGCCCATCCCCTAGCCCAGCCTCCTTGACGGGGTTTTGTGTCTAGGCGGAATCCTGGAGACACATCAGAGGTCACCTTGTCCATCCCCTTCCCTAAGAACATGAAGAATCCCAGTTCTTCCGACTGCCCATTTGGGGATTTTCTCTTGCTGCATCTGAGGGGCGGGGGGTGCAGGAGGAGGAGAAGCACCTGTCAGCAGCTCGTCTCAGGGGAATACAGTCCCTTGGCCCTTTAGCCCAGACCCTGATCCAGGGGTGCAGGGGGGTTGGGCTCAGGCAAGGGGGTTATCGGAGAAGGGAAGAGGACCTTCTTGACCTAATCCATCCTCAAAGGCTGGGGCATGCCCTTATCACCCCCCTCACCTCCAGACAAGTCCGTCCCAAGCCCTCTAGGAGGCTCTCCCCAAGGGACACAGGAGCTGCTGGTCCATGCCCAGGGCCCGAAAGAGCCCTAGGCTGGTTTGGCAGGGTTGAGGGTGGGGAAGAAGGGCACACACAGCCAGGCTCACCTGACATGCTGGTTTTCAGGGAACATTGGCCGTTCTTTCTTTTTCGCTTTCCATCTGGTGACCTGGCACTGCATGGGGGCAAAGTGGGCAGAATCACAGACCAGTCTTTGGGCAGCCCCCTTCTCATCCAATAGCTTTATATAATCCCCCAGGCCCAACTCCCTCCATCTTGTGTCCTCATTCTACCTCCACCCCTAGGTCAGCTGACAACACCGAGAAGGGTCCAGTTATCTACAAGCTTTGGGGAGAGAGATACAGGGCTTGGCTGGGACACAGGCATGTTCTAGAGCCCAAACACATACATACACACACACACATGTGCCCGCGCGTGTGCGCACGTGCACATTATAGAACCTTAAACACCAATAATCTACAAGATATCCACATGGTTAAGCCTTCAATAACATGACACTTATGCAGAAAGAGTCTCTAGGACATGCTTAGAGCTATATAACCTTTAGAACACACCCACATACGTAACATAAGACCAGCGCATCTGAATAACTATGCAGCCTTCAGTGTAAACCTAAGCATAGTAAATACGCACCAGGATCTATATACCCATGAAATTTTCAGGGCATTCTCAAATGCGTTATCTGACCTCTAGATATGCCCATGCGTTACACAACCCTCTGGACAGACACCTAATAATACCACCCCCTCCCCCCAGTGAACGTGTTGCCTGATTTCCAGGTCATGCGCACATGGTGAATAACCGCAGTGATTGAAAACACACAGTGCCAAGCGACTAGAACCTAGAACCTGGAATCTGAGAGTAAGAAGAGACTTCCAGCGTCACCCTGTTCGTGGCCTCCATTTAGCAGAGCAACAAACCGAAGGTCCACTTGTGCCTGGTGACGCCTCGCCCGGGAGTCAGAGCCGGGACAAGCGCTCTGAGCTCCTCCATGCAAGGTATTAGCAACCCTCAGTCACTGCACATGTATGTCACCAGCCTCGGCCCATACGTGTTACATAACCTCAGCACACACAGGTTACATAAGCCTCTACATGCATGCACGGATTGTATAACCTCCCATACCCACCCTGCGTGTGGCATGTTGCAGGGCTCTGCCCCCCGGAGCCTGACGCAGGGCCCAACACACTGACACAGTGACCTTGGCCAGGGTCACAATCACAAACGGGTCTATGTTCCGGGCCCCCTGGGGGTTACCCCTGTCTGATTTCTACAACCACTGGAGATTCAGATCTCCCTCCTGCCGCCAGCAGGAGTGGGGCCTCTCCAGGCCCAGTCTAACCCTCCAGTTGAGCTTGCGGTTTTCAACGATGACGCCTCACAGCCTCTGGGTGCAGTCCCAGGGACAGCCACAAGGTGGCGCACGGACATGGGGGAGGGGAGGAGGATAGGGGGAGGGGATGCAGCTCTAGGGGACCCGGAACATGCATTCCTGTTTTTCTGTGAATTAGGAGCAGACTCGCCCAGACTCACAGAAGTCTGGGCAGGGAGGTACAGAGGCTGCAAGTGAGAGCCATGCAGTGATAGGCCAGATCTTTTTCAGAGCCCCCCTGGGGTGAGGCTTTAGGGAGGGATACCTGGGGTGTCCCACCGAACTGCCAGCTTCATCCACCTCCTCCATCCCTCCAGGGACCTAGACTTGGGCCCCAAGGCTTTGCCTGGCCAAGCCTCTGGCCTCTTGGCTCAAGATCTGGTCTCCAAGGCAACAGCCACACTCCTCCCCAGAGCACCCCCACCCCCACCCTCTCCCTGGCCATAGGCACAGGCTGTACCCAGCTCTTGGGGCTTCATGCCAACTGGGACAGAGCTCTGTGCCACTTGGGGCCGATGGGAGAAGTGGAGACCCTCTGGGCAACTCAAGAGCCATGCAGATCACAGGTAATGCATCCCTAGTTGTGTGTGCAGGGCTGATTCCTCCTTCACGTGTGAGTAAACCCTTCAGAGTTGGCATTCACTTCCACTTCCTGGGAGGAGCCCCATGGCAGTGCCCACTCTTGCCCATGAACAAGGAAGAGCTTGTGGGGCTCCCAATAGGTTCCAAATATAAGCATGGGCTGGGACCAACAGTCACTGGTGCACGTGCCCTGAAATGTCATGTCCCACGCGCCATGGCTTCTGGACCACATGCTGGTCTGGTAAGGAGAGGGGGAAAGCGGCAAGGCTGTTTGCATTGCACATGCTCAGATGAGAGCAGTGGAGGGACACTGGGAGGGCATGTGAGATTCCCCAGCACTGTCGAGGAGCCACGTGCCTGCCACCTGTCATTGCTCTGCATTACCTTCCCCCTCAGAAATGGACACCTCTCAATCCAGGTGCCTAATTCCCTGCCACATGTGGCCATGACCTCATCTCCTGGGCAAAGGTAGACAGCAGGCTTGCTGGTCTCATGCCCATCCCTCCAGAGGTGCTTAAAAGGCCCAAGCTCAGCTCTCGTTTGCCCAGGCCGGTGATGAACATGCCTGTTCCCCAGGAACTGGCACGTCCTGGCTGCTAGACCCATTACCTGTTCTCCTCTGGGTCTGACCCACACTCCACCTTGCTTGGCTTCTGTTCCATTCACTTCAATTCCATCCAGGATGCCCTCCAGCACGCCAAGAGACTGGGGTGGGCACAATGGCCCCCCCGGCACACCCACAGGCCACCCACCCCCTGCCACCCAGGCCTTAGGGCACAGCACCCATGGTGCCCGCCTCAGCACTTGGCCTGTCACACCATGCCCTGTGCCCCAAGAGGGGGGTGGGCGGTGAGAGGGGCCAGGGAGTGGCAGGTGGTAGGGCTGAGGGCAAGCTGGGTCCGAGGGGGGGAGTGTCTTGGACTGAGGGAGTAGCTTTAGAGTCTTGTCCTGTCCAGAAGTCCCTGCAAAGAGAAGAGAGAGGCAGGGATAAGGCAGCGCCATGGTGGGAGTGGATAGAAGGATTCCTTTGGTTGCAACATTTTGGGCTCTTAGGGGCTCATCACAAGATGGTGGCGGGCATGGGGGGCAAGCACAGAGAGGGGACCAGGACAAACTGTCAGATCAACAGGTGCAGCAGGCAACACTGGAGATACCCATCCTAACTTGGAAAGGTATGGAGGAAAAGAATGAAGGCAATCATGTACCATGTCTCAAGCCTAACATTCAGTTAAGGGCCTGGCCCTTGATAAGCATCCATTAGTCGTTGGCTGTTGTTACCACCCCTCTAGCTGAGTTTTTTTTTTTTTTTTTAAGATTTTATTTATTTATTTGACAGAGAGAGAGTGAGAGCAGGAACACAAGCAGGGGGAGTGGGAGAGGGAGAAGCAGGCTTCCCGCGGAGCAGGGAGCCCAATGTGGGGCTCGATCCCAGGACCCTGGAATCACGACCTGAGCTGAAGGCAGATGCCCAACGATTGAGCCACCCAGGCACCCCCTAGCTGAGTTTTTGTAAGACGTATCGGTATTATAGGGCAAGAGGGGACCCAAGATGAGCAGTTTTCAGCCCAGGTGTGGGGGGTATCTGAGAAGGAAGGGTGGGGCGTGGGGGCAGCACGCAGGGATCGGGAATGCCCACCTGAGTGCCTTCATGGAGAGAGGTGCTGAAAACAGTGGGGAGCTGACCTCCCCTCTGCTGCTGACCAAATTATGACTCCCCAATCCCAGCCACTACCACCCCCACCCCCCCACCCAGGACTTCAGAACTTCCTGTACAAGGTCCCAAATCACACTTCCCAGTCTGAGGGCCAGACTTCCCAGTTGGTTTAGCTGGGCTGCCATCCACCAGGACAGCAAGGGAAAGGAAACAGGAAACTACCAGGCCATCTGAATGGATAACATGTGCCCCTCTGAAGTGGGCACCAGAACCCTACAGACGAAGATGCAGGCTCTGACAGCTGGGTCACTCACTCCCATCCACCCAGCTAGCAAGCAGGTGGCTCGGGGAGCAGCACCTCACAGCCTGCCTCAAATGCTAGCGTCCGTCCACTAGCTGGGGTCCAGGGCAGGGCCAGCCTGGGCCCACCCTCCCGTCTACACTGCCCCTCTGACCATGGGCTACAGACCGGAGGCTTACTGTCTGCACACACCGGCTGGTGTGAGCCTGGGAGAGGGGGACAAAGGGTGCAGTTCCCCACACGCAGCCTCCCTCACGTGGCTGCTATACCAGAGACCTCAGCCCTGGGCCCCCCGCCCCACCCCCAGGAACTGATAAGGAGCCAGGGTGGGAGGGGAAACAGAGATAAGTCAGGTCATTGGGCAGGGCAGGGCGACAGGACAGGGCCTCTGCACCCAGGCGAGCCCCCCGCATGAGGAACATGGCAGGAGCGCAGAAAGGTGGCCCCTGGTGCCTCTGCTACCCCCTTAGACCAGGACTGGGCACCGGGGACTGGACAGGAGACTGGGGTTTGGTGGGGGGGGCAATGAGAGGGGAGCCTTAGCCCAGGGAGCCGTCAAGAAAGTAGGTCAAGTTTTTCTTGGCTTGTGAAGAAATTCCTGTTATAAATTTATAATGGCGTAGCCAGCCCTAAGGGGTGGAGGTAGGGGGAGGAGAAGGAGTGGGTGGGGATGCCCAGGGACTGGGCACCGGGGCCTGCCGCTCTTCGCCAGAGCACTGAGGGGCTGGGGGCCAGGGAAGTCATGGGGCTTGGGCTGGACAATAGAGGGCCATTTTCTGTTGCCTCTGTTTCCACTTCTATCTGTGCCCGGCGAGGTTTCCTTCGGTCCGTCCGTCCGCATCTGAATGTCTCGCTCTCTCTGGCTCTGGGTGTCTCCCTGTACCCCCCCCGAGGCTGTGCCTCGGTGCTTGGCACACCCTGGCTGCGGTGCAGCCCCCGCCTGTCTCCTGCCCACCTGGCACGCAGCCACCACTTGTTTACAGAAGCTGGAAAAATCCACTCGCCAGCCGGAGGCCCGAGCGCCCCCAGGGATGGGAGGAGGCAAGCACAGGAGTGGGCACGCTGAGAGAGGGGCAGCCCTGGGGAGCAGGCCCTGGGGGCAGGCAAAGAGGGCCAGGGTGGAGCGCATGGGCACTGGCCGCCGGGGGCCAGGCTGGGCGGGGAACACCAGCGGCAGCCACATGGCCTGGGCAGCTCCTGCCTCGGGGCCGTCGCCCCGGAGGACCCCCTCCTCCCGCACCCCTACCACTGCCAGTTGCTACAGGCACACCTGGGGTAGTGCCAGCCTAGGCCACCATGTTTATTTTCCCTTCCCCCTCCCCGGCCTTAACTCCAAATGTGTCTGGGCACTGCCAAGGGCTTGCACGTGCCTGCTGGGGGGAGGGGCGAGCTCCCTCTCCGCCCCACCTCTGTGCGGAGCTGCATGGCGCCCCGGGGCCCATCGGTGCAACCGGGCCACACTGACCCCTGGCAACGGCAGAGGAGCAAGGTGCTGCCCCAGTGCTCGGGGCACCCTCACGTGGCACCAAGCAAGAGACTGGAGAACCAACCCCTGGGGACCCCTGGTCTCTAGGGACATACCTGGGCCTCTGCGGCAACCCAGAGCAAGCAGAAGGCCCAGCATGCAGGGAGGCATAGACCCTGTGAGCCTGTGTTAGCTGTGGGCAGGAAAAGGGCAGTGGGGAGGCGGGGGGGGGGGGGGCGGTGAGGTAGGGATGACCGCCCTGAAGGGCAGCGTCTCTCCCCTCTTCCTGGAGTCCAGCTTAATTCCTCAAGCTCCCTCCTGGCACCTGCCCTGCAGAGGTGGAGGCTTAGCCTGAAGAAGGGGAGGTGGAGCTGGGGGGTTCTGAGACTAGACTGGACAGCCGGATGGCAAGACCCACCTGTCGGGTGGGCCGGCCACCCACTCCTTCTTTGTCAGATAAGAGCGGTTGGGTGGCAGTATGGGCAAGGTGCCCACGGAGGGGGAAGCATTTCATTAAGCTTAAGTGCTTCTGCGATGGGGGGACAGAGACAAGAGGCCAATGCGGCATTCGTGGGCACCACACCAGGTTCCCACTGCTGGACTGCCCCATTCCGCAGTCCTGCAGGCCCAAGGGGACTCTCTGTCCCCAGAACCTAGCCCCAAATTCTACACACACTATTCCTCTAAGTGTCTGCTCTGGGCTTTCGCCTCATCTGTCTGGGGCCCCTGGACTTTGTCCTTAATGCTCTAAAGAAAGCCCAGCCCTCCTCCTTGCCAACCACAGAGGAAAAGACACACACGGGTAGAGGGGGGCTGAGAAAAGTGGAGAAAGAGGAGGAGAGGGGCAAAAGGGATGATGGAGGAAGGGGAGGGGCAAGAACAAAGAGATGGGCAGGGATGGGGGGGTAGAGCTGGGATGACAATGAAGTAGAGGGAAAGGCAGCGATGAGATGGGGGATGGGGGACAGAAGGGGTGAGGAAGGGAGGAGAGACAAATGAAGGAGAGGGGAGACAAAGAGAGAAAGGTAACAAAGAAAGATGGGTGGGGGGTGCTTCATGCCCCGCCTAAGTCCCACCCCATGGAGGCTGGGGGAGGGGGGGAGTAGAAATGGTTTCCACGGTGACAGCTGGTTCTTGGTGGCCTGGCATGTGGGCTATTAATAGTGTTGTGGGTAGGTTCACGCCTCCCTTTCCCCTTCCCCTTTGCCTGATGCTAGGGGTGGGGGAGATACTCCCTCCCCCCAATAACCTGGCATTGAGGCCCTGACTCCACACCACAGGCGCCAAGAAGGGTGATGCTAAGGGGCCCGGGTGGCCACTGTAGCCCAAACATACACAGGGGCATGCACAGGCAAACACAGGCATCTGCGTGCAAACCACCGCCGATGCCAAAGTGGGCTCCCACGGGCAGCCACAAACACCAACAGCCCCTGGGAGTCTGGTGAGAGCGAAGGCTGCAGCAGAACACAGGGTCCCCCCCTCCCCTCTGAGAAGGGGTAGGTCCCATTCAGGGCCAGGACCTCTTTCTCCTTTCCGAGGTCACCCTGTTCTATTCTCAGGTATGGACTGAATAGCCAGCCCCACCCAACTCACTATTATTCTAGTGCCAGGAAAGAAGGGAGTGAAGGCGGGAAGGAAGGTACTATTTGGCAGGTATGAGATGGCAGAGGAATACACAGACGCACGGGCTTGGCAAGCAGGAGGGAGGTGAAGAGGGAGGCAGTACTCCTTGGTGGGCTCTCACCGGGGGCCCTGTGAGATGCAATTCTGGAGCTTAAGGGCATAGAGCCTTAAGTCTGATCTCCTAGCTCACCAAGGGGCCCTGGAGGCTAGAGAATGGGAGATGGGGGTGGGGGATATGACAGGGGGCGAATGGTTACTTAAACAAAAGATTCTCTCCCCCCAAAGAATATAACAGGAAACTCCCCCCTGCAGATCAGAGACAGAAAGACATAAACAGCAGCCTTGACTTGGGCCAGATGCCCAGTATTAACATCAAAGACTGGAAAGACTGTGCATCCCTCACCCCCCCCCCCCATAACCTTAACCACCTGTTGCTCTCCTCTCCCTCTTCCCACCCTGGGCCAGCTCCAGTCAGGCATCAAGGTGGGTGTCCAGGTCCAGAGGTCAACTCCATCCCCCAAGCCCACACCCACACTCAAGAACTCAGCCCCTTCCCTGCCAACCCACAGAACTTCTTGCCTCTGCCCCAGTTCCCCTCAGGAACGGAAGCGGGAGATCCAAGTAGCCAAGAAGGCAGCTAGGAGCACCCCCAAGCTGGGCATGGCACATTTTCCCCACCCTCCCCCCAGCAGCCAGCGGGGTAGGGTAATCGGAGCTGGGAGCTAGGGCAGCTGAATGCTGGAGGCATGAATGTCACGGGGCCAAGGCACTCGCTGCAGATGGCACCATGGGCACAGGGCTTGGGGTCCTCCCTTCCCCACTCCCTTCTACCCAGGAGGCCATAGAGAGGAGCTGTCTGCAAGCCCTGGGGAGCACAGTCCAGGAGGGAAGAGAATGGTAGAGGCAAAGAGAAAGGCAG